ATATATATATATATATATAAAACTAAGACTTTAGAATTATTGCAAAACATACAATATTCATTAAGCAGAATAATATATATTTAATTAATGTGTTAAAAAATTAATTTTTTACAAAAATGATTCTCAATTTTAGTAATATAAATCTGAAAAGTCTTAAAGTTCTTTTTCTAAGTAAAGTATGTAAAAATATTGTAATATTATTTTATTTACATACCCATATAAAGGTCCATCATTGCCAATTGCTGAAACCATAATGATACCATTAGCTGTAACCTCCCATACTTTATCGATAAATGGTTGATCCATGAAATCTGGACCACCAATGCTAAGATTTAACACTGTCACTTTTCGAAATATAGCATGGTTGAATGCATCCAAGAACCATGAGGTATAAGATACCTATTATATATTATTTAAGTTAATATATAAATTCTTCTGTATTATAAAATTATATGTGAGAATCGTAAAAGACAACTGCACCTGAGCATTTGTAAAAACACGAAAAATATAAAGATCTGCATCTGGAGCAAAACCTAAACAGTCTTTAGAAGAAGATGCAATAACACCAGCTACAAATGTCCCATGACCCAGGCCATCCTCTCGAGTATTTTCATTTGTCCAATTTATTCTCTCTTTAATATTCCTGAAATGTGGATGACTAGCAGCAAGTCCAGTGTCAAATATAGCTACTTTTATATCCTTCCCAGTAATACCCATTTTCCATAGTATATCAGCTTCAAGGAGGTATGTAATTTGTTTTGGTATAGCTCTTAGTAATTTTCGAGATGTATGTCGACTTGTCGATTGCCCAGACTAAATATTCCAAAAAATTAAATTTTTGTTTAATATATCAATTTTAATAACATTTTCTGTATTTTAAATAGTTATCTCAATTTTACATATCTCAAAATTTGTATATATATATATATATACACACACATACATACATATATACATACATATACACATAGTGGCTATATGTATATATAAACTTACATTATTATTATTGAGCTTTCTCCTAGTATTTTCTATTTGTCAAGACATCAACATTACTTGTATTAATAAATTTTAAAGTCCTATGTATAAGTTTCTGTGGTGACACAGTCTTTACAAGTGGATGATTACTTAAAGCTTTAAGTCCTTCGTATTTATCTGTTTCTTCCAAGTGTATAATATCAAAATCACTAGGGTATAAGGATGCTGCATTGTTGCGTGGTATAATCTTCCAATTTTCAATATTAAATAAATTTAACGCAGCTCTTATATAATTTTTTCGTGCAGATGCTTGATAGTAATTCTTAAATTTGATTATATATTCATTTTCAATTATGTTAGAAGAAAACATGATTTGAATTTCTTGGGTCTCATGACATGAGGAGCCTGAAGATACGTGTGTTTTATATGGTACAGATTTAGTCGTACAGTCATGTCTTTGACAGCTGCTATTTAAATTATTATGACTCAAACCATGCAGGATACAGAATGAAAATAACAAGAAGATATATAGCGAACATGTATGCAGCTTCATACTATTGACATTAACCGAGATCTGTGCTTCATACTTAGCTATGATTGTAGAATATTCAATTAAGATCTTGAAAATATTTAGATGATAATGATTATTGATGAATCATGTTTTTTTCTTTCATATTCATGTGATATGAGACATCGATTGATCAACTCGTGCTGCACTTGAAATTAAGACGTTGGATTTCAATTGGTAATATTTAAATGAAGTGATCTTGAAAGCAATCACGAACGTTTCCTCGATTCTTTTACAAGCATTCCTTACATCCTAACCTCACGTGTAGTTAACAAAAAAGATTCAAAACATTTCGGATGATTTACAGAACGCATTTTAATTGCGGACTATTTTGCAAGCATAGATCACAATATAACCAGTAGGCGCTCTGCATGCACAGTATAATCAGGCTGCGTTCCGATATTCACTGCCAGTATTGAAAATATATAGTTCAGGTTACGTATATTATAGATTTTCAATACTGACAGTGAATATCGGAACGCAGCCTATGTGTTTATGAATTCGTAAGCATCGTGTGTGCTAAGCATGCCTGTGTTAGCTTAGGAGGAGCCAGGATCATTATAAGGAGTAATAATAGTTTTATTTATTAATAATCAGCAACGTTATATTATATATGAAGTAATAATGAGTGAAAAACGTGAACACGAAGACAGTAATACAGAAGATGGTTGGATTGGACCGTTACCTTCAGAAGCTGCACCACAAAAAAAGCAACGAGGTTAACTAACCTGATTAAGAATGTTTTTACTTTTTGATTAATAAGTAGTGTTGAACACTTATGTATTTATTACAATTATTTTATCTTTTACTGACACAAGTGGTATAATTATTTTTTAATTATTTTCTTTGAATAAAAGTGAATGTAAAATTTATATAATCCATGAATCTTTTATGAAATTTTAGTTTTTCTATTATCTTGCTTAATATTTTTGATATATAAAGATATATTTTAGAAATTATATATTTTAAAAAATCCTTTTATTTTACAGTTTTACAGTATGAACAAGTTTACATAGATAACTTGCCATGCTGTGAATGTTATGAGAAATCTTATATGCATAGGGATGTCATTACTCATATTTTAGTGACAAAGTTAGTATTTCACAAATAATTTCAATAATATGTAGTAATCTTTTTTTTAATAATCTGTTATTAAAATTTATTGATATAGGTCAAATTTTGTGATAACTGCCAGTTGCGATGGACATATAAAATTTTGGAAGAAGCAAGAGGAATTGATAGAATTTGTGAAACACTTTCGAGCACATTTAATGGCAATACAATCAATGTCTGCTAGCTGCAATGGTGTTCATGTTTGTTCAGTCAGCATAGATAAAACTATGAAAATATTTGATGTCATTAATTTTGGTAAGTATCAAACTTTATATATAATTCTTATTCAAAATATATATATTTAATAGCATATTTAATCTATTTTATTTTTTTATATCTATAATCTATTTTATTTTTGTTATTTAAGATATGATAAATATGATAAAATTGGACTTTGTACCACTTTGTGCTGAATGGGTTTATTCAGCTAGAGATGCTATATCTGCAGTAGCAGTGTCTTCTCAAGAATCAAATAAAATATATATTTATGATGGCCAAGGAACAAATATACCTCTACATATATTTGAAAAGCTGCATATCAAATCCGTTGTTATTATGAAAGTAAAAATTAAACTATAATAAAGCATATGGAAAGGTATCAATAAAACAAAGAAAGAATAACAATTTTTCTTTTGCAGTATAATCCTGTATATGAAACATGTATCTCCGTCGATAGAGCAGGAATATTAGAATATTGGACGGGTCCGAAAATGGAATATAAGTTTCCTAAGTGTATATCATTTAAGTCAAAGTTAGATACTGACCTGTTTGAGTTCGCCAAAAATAAAACTTATCCGTGCGGCTTAGCAATATCACCTGATGGCAAACGATTTGCATCTCTTAGTGGAGACAGAAAAGTTAGAATTTTTAATTTTCGAACAGGAAAATTATATAGGATATTTGATGAAACGTTGCAGAGATTTAGCGAATTACAACAAACTGTACAGCAACTTCCAAACATGGAGTTTGGACGTAGGTAAGATGTTTGCATTGATTGGAGTTAGTTTAATTTTTATTTCTTCAAATATTAATTAATAAATATTAATTTCTTATTGCAGAATGGCAGTCGAGAGAGAATTGGATAAAACCGAAACAAATTTGGGAAATATTATTTTCGACGAGTCTGGTTATATTATTTTATATCCTACAATGCTAGGTGTCAAAATGGTAAATCTTTACACAAATCGTTGTATTAAAATTCTGGGAAAGCCGGAGAATATACGATCAATGCAGTTAGCATTATTCCAGGTAAGTCTGTTTAGTAAAAGTCTGACATATCGAATGAGATGTGAAAAGCAATGTAATTCAATACATAATTCGATAATTTAATATAAGGGAAAAGCAAGAAAAACTACTGCGGCAGTAACCGTTGAGATGGAAGCTTCTGAAAATCCCACGATGGAAATGAATCGGCCGGATCCGACATTGTTTTGTACAGCTCACAAGAAAAATCGGTTCTACATGTTTACGAGACGAGAACCGGAAGACACAAAGAGTCAAGAATGCGATCGTGATGTATTCAATGAGAAACCTTCTAAGGAAGATATAATATCTTCCACGGAGGCTACTAATATGCAAAAGATATATGATACGGCGATTATTCATACGGCACTCGGCGACATCCACGTGAATCTCTTCGGGAAAGATGTCCCCAGGACGGTGGAAAATTTCTGTGTGCATGCGAAGAATGGTTATTTTAATGGCCACATATTTCATAGAGTTATTAAAGGTTTCATGATACAGACGGGCGATCCCACTGGGACTGGTACTGGTGGTGAAAGCATATGGGGAGGCGAGTTTGAGGATGAATTTAAGCCGAATCTAAAACATGACAGACCGTATACTCTGAGTATGGCAAATGCAGGACCAAATACAAATGGTAGCCAATTTTTCATTACATTGACACCGACAGTGAGTATAAATTTTTCTTCACAGAAATTAAAATTCTATGTTCTCTTCGAGATTGTTAAAATAAATATTTTGCTTGTTTTTTAGCCCTGGTTAGATAATAAACATACTGTATTTGGTCGAGTCCATAAAGGAATGGAGGTGGTACAAAATATTAGCCAAGTGAAGACAAATCCAAAAACTGATAAACCTTATGATGATATACGAATAGTTAGCGTAACTGTTAAATAATTTTATATAATAAAAAATACACATTTGTATAAAAAATACATCAGTTCCTTTTTCAATTATTTTATGATCCGCACACTATAAATGTCTGTTTACTCTTGTGTCATTTGATACAACAATCCTCTCATGAAGTTATATGTTCCTGTGCCACAAGTGAACAAGTTGACACTGAATAAATTGTAATTCTTTGGTATGATTACCAGCGAGTATCTAAAATCGCATGAATTCTGATGGAATCAAGTTGATCAAGTGATAAAATAAAGTGATAAGATAAAATAAATCTTAAACAAGATATTTGTATACCTAGACCATATAGCGCCTGTAATCATGAGACTAGCCGTTTGGCTGAGAGAAATCGTATCCGCAGGTCGATTAATATCACCTATGCCCGCTATTACCAAGCCCCACTTAAATGTCGGTGCCCAGAAGAATATTGTGGTCGGACCTGGTAAAATAATATTCTTTAGGGCATTTAGGAACGATTTTTTATTTTTAGAAAAGTTTGTAATCAGAGTCATACCTGCAGGATGTAGAAACACAGGACGGAATTTCTCAGGTAAGAGCAAAGCGATTCTCAGCATTAGCCTTTGATATGCACTAGCGTTTTTGGGCAGTGCCATAATTTTGCTTATAAAATTATTTTTTAAATCAAATAAATATATTTTATAAAATATAAAAGTATATAAAATAAATATAAAATAAATATAAAATAAATATAAAATATAAAAGTTATATAAAATGTTTTATAATAAGATTTGTAAGAAAAAGATGTAGACAACAGCATATTCACACATATCTCGTATTTTTATAATGACTTCATTCAAAAAAATTTGGCTGTGTTCCAAAATTCACTGTCGATACTAAAAATCTATAGTTTATGTAACGTATATTATACATTATTAGCATTGATAATTTTGGAACACTATTATTGATATATGTACATACACTTAATACACTACAAATGTTACTCATGCATTATTACATTTATAAATTTAATTATTTGCGAAGATTAAGAATTGCATTAATAGTTCATTTATATGCTGATAACTTTTTCAATTTTTTTAATAGTTCACGAAATATGAATTTTATTCTGATAAATATATTCAGATAAATATATTCAGAAAATATGAAATACCTCGCAAAATATGCATTTTTTTACGGTATTGCTTTAATACTTTTATGCATAGAATATTAATATGTAATATCAGTCGATTGACAAATAATTACAAAAAAGATATATGACAGCATATTGCTAAACATGATGTACATAATTATGCTTAAAATTAATATACTCATGTATTAAAATTGTTTATATATGTCAAATATACATCATATCATTTTTTTATAAAACTGCAATTTAGATTCATTCGACGTCGATATCGAAAACTGTAATCATATTAATTAATTATCGATGTGTCGATATCGATTCGACTAATCATTTCTGACTGCGTATATAGATGCTTTTCTTGTTGAAAATATTATCAATCATAAAAATTTGGTATATATAATATATAATTAAAATTGAAATACAATTAAATTTAAATAAAATAAAGATAAAATAATATGTCGATAGAAAATCTGTTTCTCAGTTTATCAATTTTCTTCACAAACATAAAAAAAATCATGCTGGAACGAAAAAGATAAAGTATTTCATATACGCCATTGATATATGCAGTTTATGGAATATTCAATATATTTCAATATATTTTCAATATATTTCAAAGATTATTGCGCATTTTGTAAAAGAGATAAAATTTAATATTTAATTAGTTAGTTTCCAGCGTCAAAAATGGCGATTCAAATAACGTAATCACACGTTATACAATTTACAGTATAGCACATATACAGTATAACTAGACAAAAGTATTCGGACAAATGTATTTTTTTAATTTTTATGAATGACGCAAGATATTAATAATATAAAGCTAATTAGTAATAATATAAAGCTGATTAATTTATAGAGAATAGGATAATAAGTAACATGTATTAATCAATTTAATAAATTGTAACATAAAACATATATTTTGAACAATAAACGAAAATATAATTGACAAAAATATTCGGACAAAATTTAAATATTGAGAAAACAAAAAAATAAACAGATATTATTATAATTTATCAAAATAAAAATTAACTTAATATTTTGTAGAATATCCTTTAGAATCAATAATTGCCTGCATTCTTTTAGGCTTTTATAGATTTCAAAAGATTGTGTATTACAGCAGGAGGAATGTTCTGCCATTTTTGGCAGAGTGTTTCATATAATTTAGTGGTATTTTCAAATTTTTCATTTTTAATACTCATTTTTAAATGTTCCCAGAAATGCTCTATCGGATTTAAATCCGGACTTTGGTGATGGCCATTTAAAAATGTTCACGTCGTTCTGATCGACCCAATTTTGCACGGCACGAAAAGCATGCTTTGGATCATTATTATGTTGAAATATCCAATTACTGTTCATGGTTCCCATTGCATGGAGTAACATGTCTGTTTCTAATATTTCTACATATGTAATTGTTCTGTCTTCATGATGTCTCTGATTTGTCGCAAAGAATCAATACCTTGATTAGAAAAGTACCTTCAAACCATAATGCTTCCTCCTCCATATTTCATCGTTGGAATTTGATAACAAATGTCAAATCTTTTATCTGCTTGTCAACATACTCATTGAATTCCGTCAAATAATTTAAATTTCCTTTCATCATTAAAGAGCACATTCGATCAGTCTTTTACTGATCAATAAAGATGTTCACAAGCAAATTTAACCCGAATTATGCTATTCTCTTTTGTAATTAATGATTTTTTCATTCCAATTTAACCCGAATTATCCTATTCTCTTTTGTAATTAATGATTTTTTCATTCCATGTCGTCCATATAATCCGAAAAACTCCAACCGATGTCATAGTGTACGAATACTTATATTTAAGTCATTACTTATGTTTAAATTTTTAAGAATGTCTACTGAAGAAGAATGTCTTTCGCGATTGACAGACATCATATTTTCCTGTCTCGTCTAATCGATGTTTTTTTTGGTCGAACTTGGATATATTGTCTAAGTAAGACTTCGTTTTTAAAATCATTTTTTAATACTGTGTATAGTTTGTTTTGAAATGTCATAACGTCGTAAAACTTCAGATAAGAAATCGTCGTTGTTTAAAGTTTTTATAATTTTTTTCCTTTATCTGTTTTGGTAAACTTTGTCCTCGCACCATCTTTGTAAGAATAGACTAACAGCAACGGAAAAAAGATTTAACAAATATTTATATATTAAAAAATAAATTACATGTATAAATGAAACGTCCGAATACTTTTGTCCAGTCAAATACAGATAAAACTTACTTTATATGTGGCTAGACACAGATACCTTCGTGTAATCTCTATACGAGTTAATGTCCGATTAATAATAAACAAATAACACAGTGGCACTTTCGTACCAACAATATGACAACACAGAATACAAAAAATAGTTCGTGTCCGAATACTTTGTTCGTTCCGTGTGTGTGTGTGTGTGTGTGTGTGTGTGTGTGTGTGTGCGCGCGCGCGCGCGTGTGTGTACATACAAACGAATATAGTATAGTATATATATATATATATATATATGTATATACATTGCCTGATATTCTATCATCGTCGCGTACTGTAATCTTGCCTCGAAGGTTGAAAAAATTTCTTGCGAGACTTCTTACCCTGGAGGTTGCCTTGCGTTCTACCAGCCCGATAATATATTTGTGATCTTGACCTTTGCGGCTTTCGATCTTTGTCTCTGTTACTACCAACAGCATTATAATAATCATCGTCACTAAATTCATACCGGACTTTATTATCTTTGTCATTTTTACAGCCCTACCGTATTACTTAAGTAAATAAAAAGATAGAAAAACTTGAAGAAAAAACATGAGGAAAATATAAACTGAATGAACACATTGATTGCTTTTACACACATTCATATATGAGCTGAAATGAGTTTGAAAACTAAATGAAAAACTAAAATAAAAAATCAAAAAGTTAAACATGCTTTCTTTTATAAAATTTAATTCTTCTTTTTGTCATAAAATGTAATTTTAAATTGAAATGTTTATATGTCCGTGATGTTTTATAAGAGAATTAAATTACGTCAGAAAATATATTTAACATTTCGTGAATTTTTTATAAAATTATGAATCACTTATAGAAGAATGTCATTCTTTTATGAACAACACGCAATTTCATGGAAAATTGATGCAGTCAATGTGTTAATATATTAATATATTTATTTCAACTTACGTTACTATTTTTCATTTCAGGATAAACGGTACAAGTAAGATTAAAGAAAATGTTTTCTTGGCAGAAATAAAGAAAGGAATTTATTACAAATCCATATAAAACATTTACATTTCACTCGACGGAATTTTATGGGAACTGTACGTATGACCGACAGACTCTAATCAAAATATTTTATATATTTTTTTCTCGAAAAAACTAAGTATAAGCCGTGCCGGTCACGTGCAATAGTAATCCATTTAAATATCATGAATATCGATTATTGATTTGATATAGAATGACATAGTCGTATTCTTTTAAATTTGTGAATGATATGTTCCAAATAAAAAAGCCATTGTTCTTACACAATATTGATAGACACCTGCGTAATATAGACAGGATCATTCGTTCTTCATTCGCCGTAAATCTTATCATGGTTCAATTATTAATTTCATTATATAAGAAAAAATTAAAAACACATACACACATCAGATCTAATCGAAAATATTTTTTAATTCAATAACGGTATTAATAAAATATTTCTTTCATTAATACTATCATTGAATTAACAAGATTATTTACAGTTAGACTCAATGTTATTGATATATCATTCTTGCATATAAACATATTTATGCGTTGGCTAATTATTTTTGCATGTAAGATTACTTTATTGGTCGATTGTGTTTGTTGATCATATTTCCCGAATAGTCTCGCATTTAAGGATTCCGACATTAGTGAACATTCTTACTTTAGTGAATATACTCTTTAAGTCCAGATAATTATTCGATTGAAAGATTCGTCAAATGTCGTCAAATGTCGTCAAATTTCGATAAAGTTGTGAAGATAATTTTTTTAAAAAATCATTGCTGTGAGACTCGATGTACTTTGATTTTTTGGTTTTCGAATAATATATTCATTCGCCGCGAATCCATATTTCGCAGTTAATCGACTATCGCAGATTCTCACTTCAAAAAAGTTAGATTCTTTGTACAAATTGGTGTTTTCCACAATATTATTTCCTGACACTCAGGGGCAAAGCAATTAGCTTTTCAGCTCGAATTGTTACATAATTATTATTGTTATGTATATTTGTAGCAATTGCTACTATCAGTGTAGTGCTTTATAAACATTAATAATCTAGATTATTTGATACATTATTAATTTGTTTATATCTTCTAAATAGACAATATATTATACAATATATTATTTATCGAGATCTAAAGATTTTAATATCTTGATTTTTCAGAAAAAATTATGATCTTTTTCAATTCTTTTGAAACTAGGCATTTTTTAATTTTATGATTCTTCACCAGTTTCCGAAAAATATTACATATTAAAAAATTTGGATTTTATGCTTCAAATTAAATCTTCCAAGATTATGTTGTATGCTGCGTAGATTATAAGGATTTGCGACAGTAAATATATGAAAGGTCTAAAGAAATCGAAGATTTGTTTCTATTTCATAATTTTTCAGATATAAAATTATATAAATGTTTTTTATTGTCAAAATATTTCTGTTTATTACTCATTTTTTATTTTGTCCATCTTCAAGTTCATCTCAAATTATATTTTATATCGAATATAAAATAAGTAATTTAACTTGATTTTTGGCCTTTTTAGAAGAAAAACATAAATAATTTAATAATTTTTAATATTGTTAAATATAAAATTGACAATATATATAAATATTCAATAATAGACCCAAATACAAGAAAGAAAATATTTACAAATTATATTAAATTTGTATCAAGATGTTTCCAGAAATGCAAAATACAGATTTAATTTGTCAAATAGATATATAACGTAAAAAATATATAATAAAATATATAATAAAATATATAATATATAATAAAAGAGATAAACATTATAACCCAATCTGTATTGTATATCCAAAAATATCAACATTTTTATTATATTTTTTATATTGTAGGCGAGTTTTTTAATTCATCGATTAATAAATCGCATTATACATAAATGCAACTTTGCTCTATAAAAGCAACATTTACGCATTATACGATTAATCAATCGATGAATTAAAAAACTTGTCTTATATAAAGAAACTCAAAAAGTCGAAAGTGTCAGATTTGTTCGCGTTACTCGCATTTCGTTTTTCTTTCTTCAATGTCGATTTTGTCTTAAATGTAAAAAAAAAACTGGTGAACAACATAAATGAATATATCTTTTACGTATATCCTTTACACATAAGCATCATTAAAAAATGTCAAGATTATATGTGTAGATGATGTCTAAAATAGGTCCTACAAAAATTTATTGATTTTATAATTTTAAAATTGCCACCAAAGTTTCAATAAATAGATTTTAGATTTATAATCAGCGATCTCGAAATTATAAAGGACAACTGGGATTTATTTTAAATGAATCTTGGCACACATCATTCCTTATATCCGTATAGAAAATACGTATATACGTAAGAATCGTATCTGAGTGAAAGTGACATTGCGTATCGTATCAGTCCGAAAACTTTCAAATTTTTCTATTTTTCAAATAATATATTTCATGATAGCATTTATCACAATATTTTTGATTAAAATTTAAATAATTTAAATAATTTCCTTTAAAATGAGCTCTATTTGATCTTAATAACTTTATATTTATTAGAAATATGATTTTTTTAAACACGGAATATTATATTCCACGTGAAAAGATTAATTATTCCTTTTTGCTCGAATTATTTGTGTGCGAGAGCAGCAATAAATTTATCATATCTCGACGAAAAAACTTCGTTTCCGTATTAAAAGAAGTGACGTGATATTTTTTTTGTTTTCCTGCAAATGATTGCGAATATCCAGAATTCCAGTTTTCTCTACGCATTCATCAGCGATACGTATTGCAAGCGTGAATTTCCCTGTATTCGAATTTGCACCAGACATTCTGAAAACCTGCTCGATATGCACAATGCTATAAACTTCGTTATCGATCGCAATCTTCTACATTAAATAAGTTTTATCGCTTACATCGTCTGATCCTCATCTATCCGTGAAGATAGCACACGTATTCTCGAATCGAGGAACGATCGATAATCTGGCAAAATCACTTTTCTTCATTGCGTCGTGCATAGAATCCAGTACGGGGAAAACGTTAGAGAACAAAGAGATTCTCGCAGCTTTTGGTTTTCCTCTTGAAGCCAAGCAGATGCTTCAGGATCCGCCTGCGGTGCTTGCTACGACGACGCCTATTTGCCTGGTCTCGACTGCGCTGCGGATTCAGCTTGATCTGTGCCAAGATACCGACCAGGAGTTCGTCCACATGATGGGCTAGACCTGATGAGGTTTCGATGAACTTACAGCCGCAACTATTCGCCAAACGACGGCCAACTGTCGACAGGAACGGTGAATTCGAATATTGTATATACAATTAAAATTTGAAATTCACTTTAGTTCATCTATAATTCTCAAGTCTCAAATTTTAGAATGAATTTTTGTTTATAATCCTATGTATCATGTGCTCATATATATATATATATATATATATATATATATATATATATATATATATAATATATATATATATATATATATATTATT